CCATACTGCATTATATTACATTATATCATTATGTGAAATGCAGAATATTTCTTTAACATCTACGATATTTGATTTATTTTTCTAAATTGTATAAAAATAAAACTCAATAATTATTTCGATCGACATATCAGGAAATTTTCTCATAATTTAGATACACGTTACACAATATCAGGAATCATAAAAGAATAAATCCTGTTGGTCCCATTTTATAAAATGAGAATAGTTGCATAGAAAATGTTAAATGTTATATTTAAAAGTAATTGAACGACAATAATAAAAATGTTATTTTTGTAAAAGTAATATTACTTAAAAATGACACTTGTATTATGTTTCATGAATACAAACAGATTTAACCCTTGACTATAATCCTATAGATGATTACAACTGCTGTAGAAAATTGACGAACTTACCTAATTATAGTTATGCCTTTCACGTTCGAAGTAATAAATTTATTTGATCAGATTATTCGATTCCAAGTAAATATAATAAAATTTCTTTACTAAATTCTTTAATTTTACGTAACTTCTGCGTGGAAAATTATTTATCTCACTCTATTTCATTAAACAAATAAAAAAGAATTTTTTTTTAAATATATAAAATATTAAATATTTCTAACATTAGAATGAACATTGATTTCATCCGTTTTTTATTCTTTCAAATAGTATACTACACATTTATGGTATTTTCTTCACTTGATATTTTATCAGGCAGCTTTTAAGTTTACATTTAACACCGTTATCACCGCCACTATCAATCAGTATTGTTATATACTCACTTTCCTTAAGGATTTATTTATAATCTGTACTTCCTATAAGATAATTTTATAAATAATTCAAGAATCTTTTAACAATTTACCTGAAAAACAATTAATAACCGAAAATGCCTATTTTAGTCAAATTTTTTCATACCTTAGATATAAACGAAAATAATGATGTAAAACAAAGTTCAAACCAAGATAAGTCGACACTTTTCGTTTATCTTTAAAGTCGCTTGTATCTATTCAAGACTGACTTAATCATGAATTCTACTTGTTACAAAAATCACGTTCGTTTGTACAAGATAAAGTTATACAACAATCGTATTGTATCGTTTTGTATTTAAAAAAAGTGTTTTATTAGTTCGACTAGTTTTACCTGATAATAATTAAAGGCAACAATTTCCATATAATTATCTGTATATATTTTGCAATTTTTATTCTTTCTTTACAAATAATTTATTGACACCTTTTAGTTAAATCATATGAAAATATCCAACTTGTCGAAGTCGGTATAATAATCTCAACACTTTAGATACGCAGTTTCAACGATTACCCAACATATTAGAAAATTATTTAGCTCACATCTTTCGTACAATTGAACTAACTTTCATAAAGAGAAAAAAAGAAGGTTTTCTTATTGTCACAAAGTTTTAAATAACAAAACCTTTATGTACAGTTATACAATAACAGGTGAACAAAATACTACGGTACTATTTATCATGAATTGCACATATGTGTTTCTGGCTACCTAACAATTCAGGTCTCGTCGATATAAAGTTGCCTATTCAGAAGTCTTTTTATCTTATCGATCCGATGAGTTTGTAAAAAAAAGAAACAAAGAAATTCTCCACTTTGACCAAACTCTTCTTTCTTATTTGTTGCCAAATATATTAGGAATGATATCTCGTCGCTGTGTGACCCGATAAAAAACAATCAGTTTATTTCGCTGCCAATACCATCTGAATCTGATTGTACATAAATCCACGCAGATTACAGATTGGGTCGATTGATTGCAAATGATATTTCCATTCACGTGATAAAATGAGATAAAATAGGGTATTTGCGATTAGGGTGCGAAGGTATATACTTTGTACGAAAAAGACACGTTCCACCTTCATCGTGATAATTTTCTATTTACAACCAATTGCGGTTAACAAAACACAGTACCAGCCTGCGTAGCCGTTCGTTAAACGTTTTACTTCCAGCGTACTCGACCATCACCGTTTGCATCTTGTCGTAACTGAAATCGTTGATCTCTTTTACATCCAACGTGAGGACCTTCAGCATAAAGCACAAATGCATGAACTCTCGTGCAGCATCTTCTGCCATTTTCGTCTTGTAATCCTCTTTGTTGAACGCGTCCGTGTTGCATCCCATTTTCTTCAACGTGTTTACCAAACTCTCGAAATAGAGATCCATCAGATCCTCGATCTGATTTTCTGTTACCTCGATATCCACACTCGAGTAAAGGAAAAAGATCAGGTCACGAACAGGGCTTCCGTAAAGGTAGATCTGGAAATCAACGAACTTCACGTCGTCGATTTTACCATTATCGCTACGATGGAACATCACATTGTTCACCCAGAAGTCTGAGTGAATGATACTCGTCCATGGTTCCCGGGAAAATTCCGCCCATAGTTCGTTTATCTTCAATCCTGTCAGAACTTTATGGCATTTATCGTAATAAGTGTTTATTTCTGGGTCGTCTTTGATCCGCTGTAGAATCAATCTGAAAATGTTGTCCGTATCCCCGTCGACTTGTAAACACTTGGCGTGCATCTTGTACACCTCGAAGATCCCGGGTTTTTTCTCTTTCATGGCCATTCCCAAGGCGTGAAATCTCGCTAACGCTTTAACCGCTATCTCTGAGTGCTCCAGATCGTAACCTGAATAGAAATGAGGAATAGAATACATTTTGCCCGTCTATCAAGAAGTTTTGATAAATTTTCTTTTTAATTGTACTTCTAACAGTAGAATTACTAATATAGTCAGAATAATTAGCTTGTATTCGTGGCAAAAATTGCTCAAATTCATAAAAGCATATTTTGTGCAATTCTTCGTGGTTTTTTCTTTTTTTTTTTTGTTAAGAGTACCAATAAACATTTTTCCCTTACATCGTGAATTTTTTTTTCTTTTTTCCAAAAATGTAATTTCAAGAACTGAATTTTTTCGAAGTGAAAAATCTTTTTGTTAGCATAGTTTTCATATTTGAAAGGCGACACAAGAAGCGTAAAAAAGTAATTTTCGACGTTTTTACTCTTCACGGGGAATATTGATTTTCAAAAATAAGTTAAAAAAATCTTGAAAGAATTTCTTTCTTTTTTAGAGATGACATCGGCAATATTTCATTTCCGTGGAATAGGTTCACCATGTGTTTTATCATGATTTATAAATTTCCCGTGATTCTTATCGAGCAAGAAGCCACTGGAAGTGAAGGTAGAGGGCATTAATCTAATATAGCAAGGTTTTCTTTGATACGCATGATTCAGCGAAAATATCGAGTTGAAGACACACCGAAAAAGGACAACGGATATGACTGGGCAAAATTAACAGCTATGCCGTATCGTCTACAATTACCAAGTAAACAAACCTAAGAAATTTCAATTTAGTCAACGGTATTTCGAATTTCACACCTTATTACATATCGAACAATAAATTTATAAGATATTACAAGTATAATGCCGAATTAGAAACATTTAGAATTAACATTATTCGCATTTAAAATAATTTTAAACGAATCTTCGTTATTATCTTGTATTAAAAATAAAATACTTCACACCTTTTTATCACAAAAGTGTGATACGAACAATCGAACCTTTGAACTTGACCGTTGGAAGTACAAAAATAACGTAATAAATTTATGATAAATGTGCAATGTCAGCTTCAATTCTAGATTGTAATACAGTAAGAAATAACTACACTTAAAAAACTTATACTTTTCTACATAAAAAAGAATAAAACTCTTTTTTTCCCGTTTTTTTTGTTTTCTTTTTTTTTTTTAATGCAAACGTACCTATACTTCTGTCACCGGTATAATAACCCTCAATTTTCAAGTTCTCCATCAGAATAACAGCATTATCGTCGAACTCCCCATCCGGATGCAGAGATAGCCTGGAACCGTAGAATTTCGGCAGAACCTCAAATATCTCATTCTTCTTCAATCCACATTCGATTTCCAATTTATTGTAAGTTGGCATAATAGAATCGTACATAAATGTTTCTTTCATAAATGTACGAGAACTGTTGAAGATGCGCCTCTGAAATTCTGTCGGCGGGCACATCTTCGCAATAAGATGAAGTTCCTCCTTTTTCTCAGTGTTTTTATGCTTCAGTTCGACGTGAACACTTAGGATTGTACTTCCGTAATTTTCTCCAGGTGGCAATAGTGATTTAGTAGTGAAATTTTTGACGATCACATTGTCCCCAAGCCTCTGACGCAGAACAGGCTCGATGTCACGGAGCACAACTTCCGGAAGTTGCTGGTCACTGTCATTCATGATTCTGAGAAAAGAGAGTGTGTACTTTTTTCGATATGTTCGGCGAAAATGTTCCGATGACCAGCCAAAGCCGTTGGAACTCCAAGGAATAACTTGTACCCGGTTTAAGTACTGATTGAATTTATAAGATCGGTCAACAGCGAGATCTTAAGATTAACGTCTTTATCAATTAGTTCGGCACACGTATTATTACGTAATGCCGACCAATACACATATCACTGATTCCTTTTCGTGAGCGAAGTAGTATCGCTATGAGTATCTCAGTCTTTTTAGCCTATACCTCATAGCTAGTGCCTACCCTCTAATTTCACACGCTAATAGAGGGCCCCGAACTATAGAAAACCTTTCTAACTCTGCCTGACCGTAATGAAGTTTATTTTTTCATACTGTTATGAACTGTTGCAGCTACCCTGGGGAACAGGTCTGTCCTTTTCGTATGACAGTGCGATCCCGACAGCCAGCTTACATATTGTACTACACTTGCACTTATCATCCGTGCCCACACCGATAGTAATCGTTTCTCCGCGCGATCTCTCCCACTTATTACCACTGATTCGTCCTCATTTTAAGAAGGAAGTCAATGTTTTAATACGTGTGTTCAGTAGCGGCTTCACTAAAAAAACGTCCAGAATATTTTGCATCCTTGATACAACAGTTTTAAAATTATTCCGTTTGATTGCATAATATGAATTAGAAACATTGTTTGAACAATTTAGATGAGAATTTTGATTCTCTGTTTGCAATAATACTTTATGAATGAAGAAAAATGCATTTGAATAGTCTTGAAAAATTTTTGATGTTCTGTGTAGAGATGCAAATTATATTCACAAATTTGTTTATTATTTAATTAATACTGAATATTTTTTATACTTCTTTTGGTAATATAACTAGAATTAGTAAGTAAA